TTTTATTATTTGACTCCGCTCTCTGTGCGCGGCTAACGGCAGGAGCGTGATCACATAGTAAAAGTTTGACGGAAGATTCAGTAGCAGTTCCAACCCTGGAATGCCCGCTTGCTGACCCAGTTTCGTACGTGCTGTGGCCAGCGTGGCTGCCGTGGATTTCGGTAATAAATGATATATTGCCCGCGACAAATTATTCGGAGTGTAGGAAGGCTACTAGTGTTAAAAACGTCTTACTCGTATACCGGAATCAAGCGATTTCTTCAAAGAAGCCGAAGAAACGTTTCTGATGCATTTAGTATTCGGCTCGGCAAATGACAGCTTATGCCACGTCAAGTTGAATTTTCACGAAGTCCTTCCTTCTTGTTTTTGTGTGGTTGTTGTGAACTGCCAGTGTCGGCATAGATCTCGAATGGCATCTTTGAAGTTCGAAAATTTTATTCGAAGGCGCTGTCCACCCGATGGGGTTTTAAAAACACAAAAATATATTTTTAAACAAACACGCTCTTATTATCTTATCTAGAACGATTGACCGTTATTTTAAGGGTACTCATCCGGATTACCTGTAGAATCACCCCTGTTCTTGTTTGCTTCTCAATATTCTGAGTTGTATAAGCTTAGTAGTATCTCGTCACATTTCAAAGGTCGCTTGCCACGTTTGCACTTTTCTACTAAATAGTCTGTGTGTAATAAACTTATAGATTTGAAATCAATATCTTGTGTTACCTTCAGCGGCAGCTTGCTCTATATTATTTAGCTACGGTTCCCACAGGCTCGGCCTATGAGCTGAGGATTACCATTATATTGCCTTTGTCGCAGCAGCATACCCCCCCCCCCCCCCCTAGGGGTCTAAATGACTATTATATTACCTTGGTAGCAGTATCCTTTGACTGTGGACATCCTAGGCTCTTCCTAAGAGCCTCCCATAGAAAATATGCCACGGACATCCTGTTGCCTTTGTAGCAACGTCCTACGGTTATTCTTCTTTCAACTAGACTTCGTCTTGTATTAGAACTGCCACAGGCCTAGGCTTCCCATAGGACGTCTTGAGGAGGTCAGTAGACCCAGAGTGTCTGTAGGACGTCCTTTGGTAAATCTCTTATAGGAGGCCCCTAGGAGGGTGATAGGGACATGTTTGCGCTCTTGGCATTCCTAGAGAGACGCTATGCCCCTTTTAGGTACTCTTTTCTGTAGAACATTTCTAGGGTGTAATAATTTTTTTTAAGGAACGTCGTGTCCAAATAAAGTGAACATTAAAATCAGAGGTGTACACGTAGACTGTCGCGGACGATATAATAAAGACCAGGCGATCACGTTGCGTAAAAGGCCCCCAGCGCTATCTATCAAAAGAAATTTCGAGCATTATCGAACCTTCAAGAGCTGCTCCATTTTTGTTATCACATCCCGCTTGACCGACTCCTACGGAGTAAATACTGATGTCCGAACTTATTGTAGAAGTATTCCGCGACGAAAGGCGAACTTAAGCGCGACTGAAATCAAGCCAGGTCGGGAAGTAGAGTGATAACTTTTCGGGCGCTTGATAAGTTTGCAGGATAAAATACGATAACCATTTCTCTCTTATTTCACCGAGCACGCTAGTGTGATGCCAAAGCAGCGGCGAAACTGATGCCTCAAAATTGTTTGCCGATAAAGTAGGGAGCAAAAAAAAAACACACACAAAAAAAAACGAGGACATTTAAGCCTTTTTTATGAGTTGTGATTGCGAAAGAACGAATGTCGTTCTTCTGCCCCCTTAGTTCGTTTGCGGCCTACTCGCGTAGACGGCCACGTTTCGCAACTGCCGACGTAGCGACCGGCGGCCGAGCGCGCACTCGCCTCAAGTGGCCGCGCCGCGATGAGCCCGGCCGTGCAGCCTTTACGGAGCCTGCCCGTGCGGGCTCTGCTGGCTCGGTGGCCACGCTCCCTCTTACCGGTGGCCGGGCCGCTGCGCCGCCATGGAGAGGGCTTCTCTGGTGGCGCCCCTTAAAACTACGCCGCGCTAGAGCCAATGGGAGAAAAACCATCAGATCGCGACTACAGGCTACTGGCTTTGCTCCATCGGTACAGGGAAGATGAGGTGCCCTCTGGCGCGGCTTAAAAAAAATTAAAGACGTTTATAATTATCTTTAATGCCGAATTAGAGCTCGGTTCTGGAGGAGAAGGAGGGGAGGGAATGTAGAAAGTGTTGGCTCCTCCTCTCTTCCCCCTCCTCTACTCCCCTTTTATTTAACGAGAAATTTTCTCTAAAGTTTCGGCTAATTTAGTGGGGAGTTTCGTTCGCTAAATTTAGCGGGGAAATGCTACCGCTAAATTGGCGGGAAATATTTTCTGCTAGATTTCTCGGGACTGTTTTTTTGCTAAACTTGTCGGGGATATTTTTCCGGCAAATTTGGCTGGGAAATTTCCCCACTAATTTTAACTAGGAAATATTCCCGCTAAATTTAGGCGCCGCGCGTTGTATTATGGGATGTCCCCATAATAACGTCACACGTGACGTCACACATAACAGCACTGGCAAGCCTCGTGACGTCACACGTGACGTCATTGTGGGAACGTCCCATGATGCAACGCGCGGTTAAGCCGACGGCGACGCCGACGCCGGTCAAGCCGGAAACGGGAGCCTAAGAGCTGCGCTCTAAAACCGATAACGCCGGTTCGCTCTATGGGACAGTTAATGCTTTCGCATTAACAACAAAAATCGAACAGCAATAGACTTCTTCAGAGCCACGCGCTCACCTGGGGTTTTGCTGTAGCACATGTTGCAAAGGTTCGTTATTGCGGGTTTCTTTGTGTTTTGTATCACACGAAACAAGAAATATAATTGATGAGAGTCTCTATTTTCGACAATAGCGTTCGCCACCGCTGCGTTTGAAAACAGCGTTACAACGAGGGGAAAAAACTGGCTTGGTTTGCCGAAATTCGAGGTTAAAGACTAAATTATTCTCCCGGGTAGGTCTTCAAGGGTCGCGCGGGCATATTTCATTTAGCAAGCCGGTGGCTCCTTTGAAGACAGTCTTGGCCATGGACCGTCGAAGCAACGGGACGTCGGGGCGCCTCGTTAGGCCTAGCGTTCCTAGCAAGCCCTTGGCGAACACTTGATAGGAGGGGTCGCTGCCATTGTAGCTTTTTGCGGGTATCCGTGGTTATTGTGTTCGTCTCCGCGGAATTCAGTTTCGAGTAGTTGTTACTTGTTTCTTACTGCTGGAATTCGGGATGCGCATGGAGAGTACTTAAAGGATTGACTGCCCGTTGATTGTCTCGACGAATTCACCAATCCCTGACGAACGACGTAGTTGGGCATGCCGATTTGATCGTAAAACGGTCGTAAGGCACATGCATGGCTTCGTAGGGTTCCACTGTACCTTACTCAAACCGTACGATGATTGTACTTCTTGAATACCAATTTACTAGTTTTGTCGTACGCAACCTTTTTGTTGTGAGATAGTTTTATGAATCTTACCTCACAAGCAGCTATGGTGATATTATGTTTTGTCTCGAAAACCACAATGGCTGCAGCAAAGCTAGCGTCATTTAGTGGCTTTTTATTGGTTCGATCGCTCTATTTCTTCGAGAAAACTGGTTCTAGTTTGCAACTCCCATGGTTTTTCTAATATTATTTCACTGACGCTTTGAAGTGGTTCGAAGATGAACTCCACCCCAAACTACACGCGTCAAAAAGGCCTCCCGTAGAAGTATTACGGCGTACTCACACTGGCGGTTGCTTAAACATTGAATACAATCTCACGCGCGTTTGACGAATGAAAACCAGTGGATCCGCTGCGCGGTTGCAATTCAAATCCCAATGTGAATGCACATTTAGCGCGAGGCACCATGTCAAAATCCCGCCCGAAGACGATCGGCTCAGTCGTTCGTCATTAAAACTCAGCCAGCTCGGATCGTCTCCATGGTAACATTTCAAATTTGGGGGTTTTACGTGCCAAACCAACGACGGGCATCTGGCACGCCCCAGCGGAGGACTGAGGATTAATTTGGACCACCTGGGGATCTTCTGACGTGCAACCGAAAGCTCGGTTACACGGCGTCTTCTCCGCAATAAGCCTCCGTCAAATTGCGGGCACCTCGGCCGGGATTCGAACCCGCCACATGGGGATCCGTAGGCCGACGCTCTCGCCTCGGAGCCATCGAGGTGGCTCCCATGGTAACATACGTTATCTTTTATGACCAATATTAGAGAGAGGGGGCAAATAAATAAAGGGGCGCCACATAGCGGCACAATCTGCCTTATGCGCGTACCGTTGCTCCTTTTGAAGGCTTTTGTACCCTTAAATGAGGGTCAAATCAACCTTGCCAGCGCGCGTGTAGGTTACTTCGTCGGGAAGCAGCCGATGCTATGGTGGAAATCCAGCTATGGTGAAAATCAATGAAAATGATTAACATCGTGCATGGGAATTAAAAGTCGCGGTGTGCCTTGATCGATTCTGCTTTATTCAGCAATTCATTTGCCTTGGCGAAAAATTTGAAGAATTGTCGGCGGGATTCGAACCCACGAACCACCGGTTGTGAGCAAGACGCGCTATACTGACTAGGCCGTGCGAGCCACGATTGCGTGTACGCCGCACTTCCTGCTCACTGGCAGGAAGAGCATTAGAAGCGACATGAAAGGGCGATGAGAACGGGGCGCAATAACCACATCGCGTTCCACTCTTTAGAGGCGAAACGTAAGCGTCCTCCAAGTTTTTGGAAAGGGCGACAGACGAAACGTATATACATTTCGTCTCCAGACCTCTCATTCTCACATTTATATCGGATATATGTCCGGTATAAATGTGAAAATAGCACATTGAACGCGCTGCGTGTTATTCGCTATTTTAGCTATTCCCGCAATGCACGAGGGACCACGCTACGACCCTCGCGCAACGAAAGCTGCCAAGGGCCGACACCACTCGATTTTAGTCAGGAATCAAAATTGCTTAACAAATGCTGAGTCGTTTGTCTGCTTTAATCGTTGTGAAGTCGAAAATAAATATTCGTATGCCACTTACTGATACTTCTTGTAATGCTCGAGGATCGCTCTTTTGCCTTCTTCGCTGAGGCCATAATATCGGGATCCCCCGCCGGCTTGGGACAAAAGGGAGCCGTCGTGTTTCGCAGGTCTTTCCGCGCCCAATCTACAGTTGCAAAATGAAAGCAAAAATGAAGAGCATCAGGAAGTGAACTTGTTCGGTTTCAATGTTCCCGAAGTTCAGATTGCTATGATGTCCCACAAACAGAGGCTGCTTATATATACAGGGTATTTCACTTTAACTAGAACCTATCTTCTAAAACAAGAGCGAGTGAGAGGTACACAAGTTTTGTTTGCAACATGTATTTATCAGGCTGGGCGGAGATTAGTTAAGGAGGTCATCACTTCACTCAATTGACTCAATAACTATAATCTCTTACTTTACTTTTTAACTATTTGTTTTATGCAACGTGTGGAAAAAATATGTATTTGACGACAATTACTATTGGATGTTAGGCCAATCTAAAAAAAATAAAAGGCAAAATTTCTTTTTAAATCTTAATCGACTAGTTTTCTCGTTTTGTTGGTCTGAAGTAAAAATTCCATTGAAAAGGATCGTCGGAAGCACTGCCCACAATGACACTTGCAAAAGTGACCTCGGGTACCGATAAATAATTCCTTGCGGAGGGCAAAAAAGGGGACAAAGGAGAAACACCAATCTCCAAACACAGCTAAGCGACTGGTGCGCCACTGGAAAAATACGCCAGGTCCTGGTATCGAACAAGCCATCTCTCCACCTCGTCCTTTCAATCATGTCCTCACTATCTCGGCAGCGTTTCCTTGGTGGCAGTTGGGGGTTGCGCTGACGACAGAAGTGACGACGTACTTACACGAGTACGTGACACTTCCAAGCATCATTGTGGGCAGAGCTTCACGCACTCTTTATGCGCGATTATTCAATTGAACGAAGAAACACAAATCTTGTTCGATTAATAATTGTATTTCGCCAATTGTCTGAATGGTTCCGGCCTCTCGTGGTAATATTGTTCACTTCTGCAATTCTAATTTTAGAGTTAAAAGCAGTAGTTAAAGGAAAGATTGGGCACTTTTGCATTTGATAAAAAAAAAAACACTTGTATTGCGTTCATTCGGCCTTTAGAATAACGGATATCAAAATTATGTTTCAACACGACGCGCCGGAGAGCCATAAGAGCAATTTCAAAACAGGGCCTCCCTAGCCTTGGGCAGCCAAAAGATCCGTTGATGAAGTCACGTACACCGACCGTCTTTCGCGTTTTCGCGCGTTTAACAATACTTGCGCAGCAAATGGTTGGGTATTCGGGTTCACGGGATGAAAATACGTCAGAATTCACTTTTAACTCATTTTTTTCAAGAACCTCCGTAGGTTTCCTTCAAAAAGTTATCTAACAAACTTCAGTTAATTCTTCAACTCGCCGTGCCGACAATATCCTCATCTAATGTCCGCAGAGTCCGATTAATACACGGTGAAGACGGCACTCCTTAAACTCATATCAAGTTTCTTTCTTTTTTCTTTTTAATATTGTGACTGATGGTGACCAAATTAACAATAAATAAACGGGAAGAAATAAACGTTTAATGTGGCGAACACGTGCCCAAAACGAAAAAGGGAATAGACAAAAACAACAGAGCGTCGCGAGCGTCGAAGTCGGCGTTGAACAGCGTGATCGAACGCTGGGGCAAGACTGACCTCGGCTTTCCACGCGCACCGCCTTTTGTAGCCGCGTGGGTTTCCCGAACATTCGGCTTAGAACGTTCGGTGCGTTCAACATTCGACCGCGAACAAGCAAGAGGATTCTCGAGTTTACGGGAATATTAAATTCCAATAATAAATAAAAGACGCGTCACTACTAGCAATCGAACCCCGGCATTTCGCGTGGGAGGCAGGCACAATAACCGTTAGGCCACGCGCGCTGCCTACTTGGCCAGGTGCGTGCGCGGCATTACTCCCCCCTTTAGAAAGTGCATCGCCCCGATTCATCCCAACATTAAACAAAGCAAATAAAAAGGATGGTAAACTAAAGAGTCATTTGGAACACATAAAGTCCACAGTCTTATTGAGCGTAGTACGGCTTCAGGCGCACGACGTGAACGACTTCAGGTCGTGGTGGGCGGTGTGATGACGTTCTTGTTCCGTCGGGCATCACCTCGTAGGTCAGATCTCCAAGTCAAAGAAGTACTTTGGAGGCTCCGAAGTACCGTTTTAGGAGTTTCTCGCTTAGACCACGGTGGCGAATCGCCGTCCAGACCCACACCCTGTCTCCGGGCTCGAAGTGGACGTCCTGACGACGAAGGTTGTAGCTGACAGTGTTGACACGTTGTTGGGCCTGAATCCAGAGTCTGGCGAGCTGATGGGCTTATTTTGCCCGTCGGGTGACCACTTGGGCGTCGTCGCTTCCGTCGACAGCCGGTTCGGTGGGTAAATTCGCGTCCAGCATTGTTGTTACTTTGCGGCCATAAACCAGTTGAAAGGGTGTAAACCCGGTGGTCTCCTGTACGGCCATTTTGTAAACAAATGTGACGTACGGCAACAGAATTATGTCTTGTGCTCCACGTCGACGTACATGGAGATCATGTCGGCGATAGTCTTGTTTAGGCGTTCCGTCAGCCCATTAGTCGGATGATGGCACGCTGTGGTTTGCCGGTGGTTGGTGTGGCTGAGACGGAGGATCTCCTGCATCAGCTTGGCCATGAACGATGATCCGCTGTGTGTAATGGGCACTTAAGGGGCGCCGTGCCGGAGGACGATGGACTTAATGAAAAACTTGGCGACTTCAACAGCCGTACCTGATGGAAGCGCTTTAGTCTCGGCGTACCGTGTGAGATAATCGGATGCGACGATTATCCATCGGTTTCCTTGCGTCGATGGTGGGAATGGTCCGAGTAAATTCATTCCGATTTGCTGGAATGGGGCAGATGGAGGTGCAAAAAGCTCAAGAAGTCCTGCCGGTCTCGTAGGTGGTTTTCCCTTCGTTCGCACTCATGGCAAGATCGGGTGTAGTGGTTGACTGTCTGCGCAAGCTTGGGCCAGTAGTACTTTTCCCGTATCCTGGCAAGAGTCCTGCTGTAGCCGAAGTGTCCCGCCGTCCGGTCGCCGTGGCAGGCTTCAAATATTTCCTCCCGAAGACTGGAACGGATCACTAAAACCACGCCCTGTTGTTGTCACCGAAGTTCTCCTTGTACAGCACACCTTGTCGGATGGAGAAGGTTGACAGTGTTCTTACGAAAACGGGGAGAACGGCGCTTCCTTGTCCCTCTAAGCGATCGATGAGTGCTCGGAGCTCAGGGTCGTCTCGTTGGAGCGCTGCCATGTCGCTGACATTCAGGGCGCCGAGCGAACGCTCATCGTCGTCGTCTTTGGTGCAGGCAGGACTGGCCTCGACTGGGGCCCTTGACAGGCAGTCGGCGTCATTGTGCTTCCGGTCGGACTTGTACGTCACGGTCATGTCTAACTCCTGCTGCCGTAGGCTGCACCGGGCGAGGCGTCCGGAGGGGTCCTTCATTTTTGCGAGCCAACAAAGAGAGTGGTAATCTGCGACCACACGAAAAGGACTTCCATACAAATATGGGCGAAACCTTGTTATTGCCCAGCGACATCGAGGCGCTCTTTTTCAGTAGTTGAATAGTTCCTCTGCGCGTCAAAGAGCGTCCGGCCTAGGAAGTTCGGTGCGTAGAACATTCGGGCCGCGAACAAGCCAAGAGGATTCTCGTATTTACCAGAAAACTAAATTTCAATAATAAATAAACGACGCGTCACTCCCAGGAATTGAAGCTTCCTTTTTCGCAAGGGAGGCAGGCACAATTACCGTTAGGCCACGCGCGCGCTGTATACTTGGCCAGCTGCGGGGCGGCACTATGTACGAATTGGAATCAAACACTTTCTATAGTGTAACAATTAATGTGGTGCGTGTATATACTGAAATTAAGCAAAAGTAAAATGAGGACAACAAATGTACGACGGACGAAACTAACATTAATAGATCTGTTATGCATTGTCACTTTGTCTTATCAACTCAAAATAACTGATTTCGAGTTTAAAAAAGGACGACGGATGTGAAATTCAAGCTCTTCTGACACAGGAGTCGATTAGTTTCTCGTTTTTTCTTGAGTTTATAACTGAAGAACTGTAAACTTTATTTGCATATTGTTATACAAAAAAGGGTAACTGAACTTCAGCGATTTCCCTTCTGTTATAATAATCCCCAGTGTCGTTTCACAGGGTTGCGAAGCAAAAAGATGAGCTAAAATTCCAGAAAGAAAGACCCAAGAAAAGGCATTCCAGAGAAAGTAAGAATAAACAAGGCGGCATGTGGACGTGCATTTTTGTATAAAACAACTTATCTGTGTGCTCCAAAGAAGAACTGTTAAATAAAAAATGTCTCTTCGAAGTATATCTTAAAAAGTGTCTGTGTTCGTAGTCTGAGCATACGCTAACGGAACGTTCAGTTCGAAATCTTCGATTGCGTAATAACCTGCGTTAAACTTTGATAATTGTTTTACCATTCTCTCGAGGTTATAATACCTTGCAAGCTCAGGTACGTAATAGTTTCAATAAAAATTGTAAAGATTTAAGAGAAAGTACAATATGCACATACGAATGCTAAATACGTGAAATATAAATGCGGAATACCAGAACTACACTGGTACAATCCTGGGGTACAATGAAATGCAATACAACACATAACTGGAATCAGCTCAACCAATCACGGCTCATGTTTAAGGAGTTCTTACCAGGTACTAAAAGTGTTATTTACCCAAATCGAGGGTCTTCGAGGCATATGCATAAAAACTTGCAAGGTGGAATTTCTCTCGAATATTCGCTTTTCAATGATTTCCGCGTATGATTATACATCTTCTACGGCGTTTGCAGCGAATGAATATTGTTGTACAAGTAAAGGTTATAAGTATAAATAAATATTATGTTTACAAAGTAAAAATGAATACATGTTAGAATTTTTGCAAGTAATCATATTGCAATAAATTTGGTATTTTCTACTTCTTTTTGCCGAGCCTTATGCAAAAATGTAGAAAAAGCCACTAAAAGAAATGAGCTAACTAAAAAAATTAGAATATTTTTTTTTTTTTTTAATTGAAAGAGGTCGCGGCGACACGGGAAACATACATATGAAAATACTAGGGAATAAACAGTCATTTCATTGTTACAATGATTCAACATTATGTTATCACCCCTTACGTAGAATACGAAGATTACTCACAGAAATGATATCTGTTGCGCCAAGTCAGTTGCACTGCTGAAAGAGTTTCCGTCATCGTAAACGAGGCCGAATTTGTCACCCGTGCATACACCACCTATTTTGGGCGTACCTGTCAGTAGATCAAACATAAAAATGTGCAGCTTTATTTATGTACTTGTTTATTGTTATTGTAATTTTTACTTAAGAATACATGCCAATACATCAAACATGTAACTGTGCAATTCTAGAAATGTTTGTTGTCGGCCTTTTAAAGTTTATAAACACGAAAGTATGTTTTCTCTTACCCTACTACGTACTACAGCTAAGACTATGGGTAATCAAAACCAATAGCGATAAATTTAAAAGCAGTATAATGCACTAATCACACAGGAAGCGCAGCACGCGATTGGGCATGATTGCCCGTAACTTTGGCTGTGCTGTATTTGCATTTGTTTTAACACTTTCTAAAAATTATGGGAAGAAACTAAGGATCAACTTTCATGTCGCGTGTACATAATAACATCAGCCATTCCCTGTTTGTTTTTGATATCCAGTTGTCGAAATAACTCTGTGCCATGTTTGACACAAGCCAATTGATCTTAACAATAAGGTGATTGCATTTCTCATGTGGGCAAAGGCCACTAATGGAGACTTGCGCTTTTGTCAAGATACCACGCAAGCGGCATACACATATAGGGTAACGTTTATTCATATGAACTAAAAAAGGTTGAGTTAATATTACATAAAACATCGTCGCACGCCCTGATATGCTGTTTTATGTATTAACAACGCCAAAATCACGCATATCTACTCACCAATCCAAGAGCCATCTGGCCTTAATAATGCAGGTTCAACAGACCGGCTATGCAAAAGAAAACATTAAAAAGTATAAACATTCTTCTTTTATATAGGCATTTGTATCAACAATAATAATAATTATGGACAATACCATTCCATTTTCGAAGCTCGCAGTATATGAAACACTTACGTTTACTATTTGAAGTGATAAGAAGGATTATGTTATTTATATTGAATACAGATTTACGCATGCGAAATCAAGATATAACTTTTCAAACCATAATCGCCATATTAGATAAAACACGTTAAAACACGTTAGCTCCGTCACTTCCTAATATAAAACCACAAAGCCAAGATGCAGATGTATGTAGCTTGACTGAATCAGCTTTATTTCACAAAAATCATTTTAACTTAGTGTTTTGAATCAACTTAAAATTAACTGTTAGACAAAGGCTCTAAATATCTAAGAAAGGTCGCAAAAATTGAAATTTTCTTCTTGTATTCTTTACTGGCTTCAATCAGGTCAGTGCAACTCTGCGAATGCACGAAATGGATGATTATGGAAGAGTTGAAACAAACGTCTCTGAACTGTCGATAGCAGAGTGGTTCTCACATGACCCAACGCCAGACATTGTTTTAAAAGCCGTGACAATATCCGCGACAATATTGTCACGAATGACAAGGTGACGAAACAAAAATAACAGAGGAAACTGAAACGTTTAATAGGGCGAACTTACGCCCAAAACAAAAGGTGAACAGAAGATAACAGCAGATCGTCGTAGATGTCGAAGTCGGCGTAAAAGCAGGATCGAACGCTCGGGCGAAACTGACTGCGGCTTGCCACGTGGAGCCTCTTAGGTACACGTATTGGCTTTTGGAATCATCAGCGTAGAAGGTTCGGCGGCTAGAGCATTTGGGCCTCGAACGAGACACAGGGTTCTCGAATTCACAAGAACATGAAAGTGAAAGCACCAATAACAGACGCGTAACTTCTAGGAATCAAACCCTGTGCCTCCGCGCGAAAGTCAAGCGTGGGAACAACTGGGCCATGCACGCGCTCGCTCGGCGACGCACCTGGCAATACGAGTTCACTATCGGGTTGTCAAAGATCGCTCACTCGGGAAATGGGATTCCGACCGCTGACGATGATGCAGTACTTTTAAAACCGAAGTGCTGCCGTTGGCTGGAAGATGCTATCCGTTTTCTTGAAGCTTCAGCGTTTGTAAATACTCATGGTATTTTGTAAAGAACGACGAACGAGGGTTCCTTAACCTGGGTCATACCGGCTTAGAAGCCATCGCTCAATAATTAGTGACAGGGAGATTATTTTTCTCCTCCGGGAACTTGAACGAACATATGTTGCCGCATCAACTAAAAATTAAATATTTATATTACTATTTTTTATAGTTTCATTGGACGGCTAGCTAGAAGGTCCACCCCCCCCCCCCCCCGCACGCACACAAACACAATTTTGTGTGCGTGCGGGGGGGGGGGGGGGTGGACCTGTACGGGAACCCGGTCATCTCTTCTGAAGTCAGTTTGTCAAAGGTCAACTCGCATAAGTCTAACTCGTCGAATAGGCCAACTGACCGTAGGTACTTTTTGGAAAACGGCATCTCATCGAAAGGGGCAACTTATGAAAAGGCAACTAGTCGAATTTGCAAAAAGAACATTCTAGATAATTGTGTTCTGTTACTGTTGTCGTTTTTTTCTTTTTGTTTCTTTCTTTTCTAGCTTCTGTCGTCAATATTTTTTTCGCTTCCAGCATACTATCACAATTTGAAAATGGAAGCTCCTCAGACGCATCCTCGGAAAACTTAGATCACGTTTTTTTGTTCCTTTCCTTATAATCCAAGATTATTGGTTTCAGCAGTTCGAGCTTTATATTTTTGCATCGTTAGGATGCACGCAAACGCTGGCGGTCCTGTACAGTCGCTTTCATGCACGAGTTCGGTACTCGTCCGTAGTGCTCCCAACTCTCGGCGTATCTGAAACTAAAAGTTTACAAAATGATTGTACACTGCTGCACCATTTTTCTAGGTCCCACTCACTGCACTGCACTGTCCGCCTGTCAATATTTTGAATCCGTGCACCGGCTCGAGTTAAACTTTTTTTTTCACAGTACCTACTTCGACTGTGTGGTCCTATTGATAGTAATGCTTAATATAAGGAATAAGGATTTGTCCACGGATAAATGATGCAACAGAAATATTGAGCAAAGTGCGCCGTAGCTATAAAAATATGCCCATTGCTGTTTTTCTATATAATGTAATTGCTTTCAAATACAGAAGTCAATGTTAGAAAGCAGGCGACCAGATCGGCTCTTTGACCAACTGTCCGTCGATAACTTCTCCTATCACAAGTAAGCCTATTCGAGCGGTTATAAGTCGTCCAAGTCACATATTATGCACATAATATTTATAATAGAGAGACAACATTCAAATACACCATTATCGCCAGGAACTACCGGGACAACTTCTTTAAAAACCCCGAGTGCGCGCCTATGTCTTTTAGGGTAGACTAAACGGCTTGAGATGGCCAGAAAAATAAATAAAAAGGTTGCGGAGGAAGCGTAAGATATCTTTATTTATGAAAGATATTCATTGGAGCTTCTCTATACCTTGTGAAGTATAGCCGGTAAAAAAATAAAAATCTCTGAAGTCTGTTTGCTAAGGCCTTTCCCCAGAGAGAGACTATTTGATTCAGCTGTTTGTTTCGTGTGATGTTAAGAGTATTCCTGCTTTAGATTTGATGACTGTGCGGCGTGGTCGTATGCTGTGTGTAATTGTATAGAATTTACTTTTTACTAATATCATCCGGAATCAAGTATTGTTAGCACTTCTAGTGTTCTTTTTGACTCCTCGAGAGCAGTATGCTCATTAAAGTGGTGTTCGTTATACAAGCCCTAGATAGCTTTGATGAACCCGTGTCTGTACCTTGTATTATGTGTTCGTGCAATAAACATTATTTTAATATTAATATTATTAATGTTCCTTTGACTTCATATCCAACAAAAGAACTTAAAAAGGCACTTCGCCATCTTCTATTTACCTACGAGGTCCTGTAATCCTTCAGTTTTATTTCACAATACTTTGCATTTTCTATAGAATGTTTCACATCCTATTTTGTTTTTCTTCGAATATAATTCACCATGATTTGCACTAGAAGCTTTTCTCCGCCAAGGTTAACATCACCAGGAACGTAAACACCTCTCAAGACCATCTTAAACGGTGACAATGACCGGTTTGCGTGTTTGCTCATATGTGCACGTGTGTGTATACGTGTCTTTATCTGTAATCAGCTTTTTTTCTAAGTGTCACAAATGTTGCTGGAACTGACTCAAATCTCTTCAGTACTTGACATAGTTAGTTTCGTGAGGCTACTGCAAATTAGGTTCAGTCAGACAAGCCCTTGATGGCTTGGACAAACCTGACTTGCGACGTGGATATGCTAGTCTTTTGAAATAAATGTATTATTATTATTAGTAGTAGTAGTAGTATTATTATTATTATCATAAAAGCAAAAGAACTCGGTTGGGCACGGAGTCGGCAAGCGCCAGAAAATAATAAACATCGTTCTGAATTTAGAATCGCGAGGAACAGAGCTAAAGGAAGGCTTCGATTGGCGAAAAGAAAGCACTTCAAGGAAAAGTTTGAAAAGGCGCAATTTAGCTCTTCCGTGACATGGTCACTCGTTATTACTGTTCGTGGTCATCAGCGAAAGCCATTTGTGGATGACATTGTAAAAAATAAAAGCCGTTTACAACTTCCTGTAACGCCGAATTAGAGCGCAGCTCTTCAGGAGGACGAGCGAAGGGTATGAGGGTCACGTGTTCTCGGGGGGGGGGGGGTCACGTGACCTCCGGGGGAGGTCACGTGACCCTCCCCCGAGGCAACGTCCCCCCCCCCCCCGAGAACACGTGACCCTCATACCCTTCGCTCGTCCTCCTCAAGAGCTGCGCTCTAAATTCTGCGTTTCAGGGAGTTGTAAACGGCTTTCATTTTTTGCAACAAATGGCTTTCGCTGATGACCGCGAACAGTAATAACGAGAGACCATGTCAGAGACCCCCCAGAGAAATTTTTCCGTTAGATATAGCGGGGAATATTTTACCGCTAAATCTAGCGGGGAAATCTTTCCGCTAGATTTAGCGGGGAAATTTTTCCGCTAGATTTAGCGGGGAATTTTTTCCGCGAAATTTAGCGGGGAAATTTACCCATAATGCACCGCGCGGTTACGCCGACGGCGACGGCGACGCCGACACCGCTCAAGCCGGAAACGGGCGCCTAAGAGCTGTGCTCTAAAAACATTTTGGTAGCAAATTGACAGAAATCGTTGAGAGATTCCATTACAACTTTGTTAGATTCACTCGTGCTCCACAAAGAGTTGGTATTTCGCAAACAGTAATAGAGATGAACACAACCTCCGCTTTTCTGTATCCTATGAGCTTGGACGATTTACGTTCCGTTCTCTTCAGTACTAGGCCTACTAAATCTCCAGGCGTGAATGGTATAACCCTTGGATGTTTTCAGAGAAACTTCAGATATCTGCAGGATATACATCTTTTCATGTTGAACGAATTTATCGAATCGGGCGTGATCCCTAAAGAGCTATAGTGCTATAGTGCGACCGATCTTCAAAGGCGGGGACCCCCAAAAAAAGTAGAAAACTGCCGGCCAATCTCGATTTTGGCCGTGCCAGAACATGTTTTTTGAGAAACACGTTTTTCATATCATTAATAGTTTCATAGATCAGTGTTCAGTGTTTTCTTCTAGGCAGTATGAGTTCATTTCTGGGAGTAGTACGTAATTGCTTTTACAGGATGTAGCTGCCGAAATTTACTCTGCTTTTCAGGGCTACATGTTTTCTTTTGCCGTTTTTCTAGACGTCAGCAGGGCCTTCGATACGGTAAATCACGAGATTTTATTGGAGAACCTTTGGAGGTTCGGTTTGCGCGAACCTTTTTACTCGGTCTTGGGAAAGGTAGGACCCAAGTGGTTTCTATAGAAAAAGTTAATGGCTCAACGCAGTTTATTGAAACCGGCGTCCCTCAGGGATCGGTGCTA